CTTATGAAGAAGCTACTACTGATGATATAAAACAATTATTGCTAGAACATCAAAAATTATTTTTACATAATGATTATGATTATATTGAATGGTCAATGGTAGGAGATGATCTCCTTGAAAAACGACGCGAATTCCGTCAAGCTATTGATTGATACAAAAATTATGACAATCATCATTTAGTATCAAAATTATTAGCTGAAGTTATTCATTATTATTTAAATGAATATTTGATCAATCAAAATAATGACACGAGTAATTTGAACGATGAAACCACCCGTAAACAAATTGAAACTATTGAAGAATATTTCAAAGAAGCTATTGAAAAACAAAATTGCTTAACATATTTTATCAAAGCTTATACATTAACAAATTTCTTTTATAAAGTATTAAATAAAGATTTAGCTTTGTATATATTAGAATATTTCGATAAAACAAAAAATTTTTCATCAAATTATCGTCTTGTCAATTGTCTTGTTCATATTGTTACACTTTTAATTTATCATCCAAAGTTATCTCAATATCAATATCAAGGTATATGTTATCGTGGTATGAGAATAACACAAAATGATTTAAATCAATATCAATTAAATCGACATATATTGAATCGTGCATTTTTATCAACATCTGTTGATCGTCGAGTAGCAGAAATGTTTGCTGGTGAAGGTCAACAATCTCAAATGAGATATACTCCCAAAAGTCATTATCTATTACAATATTCATGTTTATGTCAATATTCAATCAAACAAAATTCAACAGCTATCAATATACAAAATTTATCAACAAAACCAGATGAAAAAGAAGTTTTAATTATTCCATTTACCGTTTTTAAAGTAGTAGCAATTAAACGAAATTATCTTGATGATCCAACAGCATCAATTTCAATTGAAATTGAATTAGAAGAATGTGAAGATCCTGATGATGGTAAAAATGAATCAGAAAGTAATATATTTTTTGTCATATATTTCGAAGAAAATTTCTTTTTTTGATTCTGTTTATTAAAGTGTCAGGAGATAAAACATCAAGAGGATCATCATTGTCATCATGTGATAGCGATATCAAAGATGCCGAAGCATATATGAAATTCAAACAGCGAAGATATCTTTTTTATGGCATCATTGGACTTTTGATATTGGCTGTTCTTTTGGGTTTAACTTTTACATTCGTTTTTACTTTTGCTGTTGGAAAAAATTCCACGAAAAATGCAGCGACTGCATCAGAAATGGATGAGACTTTCGAATATCAATTACCATCAGGTAAAAGTAATACAATAAAATAAGCTAAAAGTATGAAATCTTTCCTCAATCTCTTCAATTTCATGGGTATCACTTTCTAGCTTTCAGATATCTGAAAGTTTATCACATAATAAACAACAAGAACGGCACTATTAATAGTTTATGGATATTCTAGAAAGTAGAAATACATAGAAAACTCGAGAAAGGACTTCTGATTTACTTGTATGTACCTCCTATGTATTTCGAGTCTGTATAAAATCCATAGAGTACCGCATTTATTGATGGCTGACCTGTTAAACAGACTTCTCCTAAATGCAAAAAAAGTGATTTTGTTTCTTAGCAACGAACAGCTAAAATACCTGTTCTACTAGATTGGAAAATAATATTCTTCTAGGGAAGTATTGGCATGATTTCAAATAGAGTAAACAATAAATTTTATATCAAATGAAGGCTCGTCAAGAATGGGATTTATCCATACGAATAAATAAGGACTATAAAGATTTTTCGCAGTTGGACTTTGACAATTTCTACAAATCAATGAACCACAGTCAAAGCAAAATTTTCTGCTACGGAAGAGATATCAAATTAGCTATAGGATAAAACTATTTAACATAGCAAAAGTATCTCTACTTTTTATGCCTAATAGATGATACAAAATAAACCTAACTTTGCTATGTTAAATAGTTTTATTCCACAGCTAATTTAATCTCGCTCCCGTAACAGAAAATTTTGCTATAACTGTGGTTTATGGATTTCTAGAAATTGTTAAAGTTCGACTGCGAATAATCTTTATAGTCCTTATTTATGCGATGGATAAATTCCATTTTTGACGGGCTTTCATTCGATATAAAATATACTGTTTAATCCTTTCAGTCTCAAATTATTTCTGATGGTTCCAATTGAAGTTGACTGTTAGATTAACTCATTTTACACAGAAACACATGAACGACTATATATCTCCTTTACAGATAGTTGGAGCGGATTCTAGAACACTCTTACTTCTTTCCAAGAGAATACATACTAATTTATATAAATTATGTTATGTAAAATAATTATAAAACAGGTGTAGCCTTTTTGATACTATGAGACTCAAAAGGTTAATATATTTGAAATCATAGCGGTACTTTTCTAGAAGAATATTATTTCCAACCTAGTATATAAATATATATCTTTTGGCTGTTAAAGAAATTAATTAAAATTCATTCTTTCCTTCGGTAATGAACTGATGTTGTAGATAACAAATTTACAAAATTTGATATATCTAGATTACACTATTCTTTCTTAAACGAGTATAAAATACACATTTTGTTATATGTATTTCTTGTAGGTTATATCAATATATTAAATCGATCTAGCTGGAATGCACGACCCCCTATCTAAGTCGTGAGAATTTAAAAACATTTCCGGTAACACATATTGTTATAAGACTATTGAATGATTTCCAACCAGTTATGAATCAACAAGATTGTATTAAAAAAATAAAAGATCTTCAAGATTATCAAATGGATGAACGAGGTTGGGTCGATATTGGTTATAATTTTCTCATATGTAATGATAATGATGATCAACAACAAATTTATAGAGGTCGAGGGTGGAGATATGTTGGTGCACATTGTATTGGTTATAATTTCATGTCTTTGGGTGAGAATGAATTCTGCTTTTAACTTTCTAGTACAATGCGCCATAGATTAGTGCCAATTTAACCTTGGTCTTGTCTTTGTCTTCTTAAAAATAAATAAAAACTGTGGTGAATTTTGATATGTGTGGTTAGCGTTGATAAGAAATTTTCTACGAAGTCTCAATAGAACTCGAGAGATTCTGATAGACCAGAGAAAGATAGAAACAAAGACGGAATAATACATTTTGAATTGCTCTATAGTTAGTGTATGAGAGGAAGCCATTTTTCCAAAGAGAAGTGCCTACGGTTGTCCATTGGAATTTCGTCAAGAATCATTTGAGGCAACATTTTTTGGCGTCATCCGCTAACCTCGACTGAAAGTCTTGATTCTATCAAAAACTCACTTGTGACAAGATCCTTTTGAGCCAATGAAAAGATTTACAAAACTGAAGTTTTTAGTTAAGATAAATTTTTATCAGTTCTAGCCACAGTAAAACTTTCATGTCTCTATCTCTTTCGAGTCGTAAGACTTGGAATCTAAAGTTATCTGGAATAGTGACCTCTACTTCTATGAATAAGATGCATCAAATATTAAGATCTGAATCATTCCAGTTACAAACCTTTTTTGCCAATTGAACTCATTGGTGAATACAGCTATGAAAGATTCAATTCGATCGATCAAGCCGTTCTTGATATATAGTTCTATTAGTTCCTAAGTTCGTATTGTTAGTTTTAGAATGATATTTCTTTGTTTTCTAAAAGGTATTGGCATCATTGGCAATTATACTACTATAAGGTCTCTAAACACATTTAAATCACTGATCCAATGTGGCATTGCAAAGAATGCTAGTGTAAAAAATTTTACATTGGTTGGAGATGCGGATTCAAGAGATATTTATGAATATTATTTGAAATACTTCAAAAATGATACCGTTCTTCAATATAGCAATCAAGCCGACAGCAGGCGGTTTTTTTGTCAATAATCTGACAGTATTCGGTTTTATTATTCGTCTCAAACAACTATTTTTTCCATTGAAAACAAAAAAAAATTGTGAATAGTGGTAGAAAATTTAATCAAGCACGTTCAAAAACTCTTCTTAATCATATTTTATTTATGAATATATCATGATAACTCAAAAATAGATCAATAAAGAATATTTTACATCGTTCGATGAGAAGTAACGATAATATTCGTCATATGTTGTATTCGATGTACGCTACATGCTGTTGATATAGTAAAAGATATAATCTGATAAAGGAATAAAGACAAAGAAAGTATGATGACGAAGCTACAGCACGAACAGGAGAAAATCAGTAAGACTTTTACCACTGCATTCCGTCGCCTTAGTTAGCTCTCTATGTCAATAATAAGTATGAAAAATATGATTAACAATCTATTATAGAATGCTCTTTATGTGTGTGCATTGTTCTAAAAAATGACTTGGTCCTCCACATTTTATATGTCCAAAAAGATTGTAATTATTATCTGAGATCATTTTCGATGATGTTATATCTAGCTAGGGTATTTAAATCGAAAAAAAAAGTTTTCCAGAAAAGTAGTAGAAACTCCACAGATTCACTCAATAAAGATTTCATCATTTTCATCGCTAGATATTGTCAATTGACCTATCTCCATTCCCTTTGATTTGAATTTGATCTAAATTCAATGATCAATAGTTACTGAAAAGAAAAGTTTCCTTTAGAATGTAAAAATGAATTGAGCGACATTAATTTTGATTGGAAAGAAAGTTCTTCTCATTGATTATGAAAACAACATCAGAAAATATCCATGAGATTTCGACTACCTTGACGTGAAGTTTATCCTATTGATGTGAAATTATCAGCATCTGTAGAACTCGACCAGTCGATCGTTTTGATTTCACAAAGTACAGTAATATCCAGAATCGGAATGTCACATCTTTTATTTCCAAACCATTTTCCATATTATATAGAAGAATTTTTCATTAACTATAAATCTAGAAATGAATAATATTGGAATAACAATCCTAACAGTTCTACAAGATCAATAAGAGACTTTTCCATAGTCTATTACAACAAATAGAGACAAAGATGATAAATATCCATTCTTCAAAAAAAAGTCGTATATACTATATCGGATAAGACTGAAAAAAGATTTAGAAAGAGATCTTAAAATAATAAATGTTAACATACTCAAATTCATTAATCGTTGAGAAACATCAATGAATGAATTAAATTGATTGAATCCTATATTTAGAGTAAGAGTAAGTAATTCAGTTACAATAAAAATGAGAAGATTACTAACTAACATATGAACAAGTTGTCAGAAATGTGTATGTCGAAGGTATAAGAAAGAACAATATACAAATAGCAAGATGAAACATTTAAGAAATACTAAAAATCAATGCAAATGATAAAAGAATAAAGATTTGAAAAATGGTTGTTTCTGACATGAACAATGACTGATTTTCCATTGATGAACCTTGATGATATTAATTGAATCAATTTTGATACCAATTATTTATTGTTATTGTTAACAAAGAACATTTATTTATAAAGAGAAACGAATTGGAGCAAGACAAAGAGATGAAGATATTTCTGAACTAATGATGATCTTGTTCTTCATTAATTATCTAAAAGAGTATATTTAATAATTTTCTTCTTGTTTTCAGTTAAGAAATCGTTTAATCATTAGAATTGTTCAACATGACTCTATCGAGTAAGTTCAAATGAATCAGATCATTGATAGAATGAATATTAATGAAGCTATTTTCTATGAATCTGAATTAATGAAATCATTTGTTTATTTCTAATCAATATTGCGTGTTTTTTTTTCATTCTAATTGATCAAATTTAGTTTTGTCTGATCGATATCGAAAAAAAAAAATTTTTTTAAATAATCAAGTTTAACAATTTTCAACTTTATCTGGTCAATCCATTGAATTGATCTTTTTCTTTCCTCTTAACTATTTCATATCGATGAACAAGAAAATTTCCTTGGAAAAAGATTTTCATCTTTAACATTATTCAAAAGCCTCAAGACCTTATCTATTTCAATGTAACACTGTTCATCAGAGTGAAAAGTATAGCATCATACTCGTCCTCAAAACTACGTTTTTTTTTTGTCGAGCTCAATTTTCGTTCAAGTTTCGTATTCGTCAGATGAGAAAGTTGCGTGTAACAATGTAATAGTGGCAATTAAATTTATATTTCTTCGAAATTTCTGTCCGATCAAATAGAAGTTTCAATCTATCTGAGATTCGATTGATATTTTCTACTAATTTAAAATGATATGAATGTCATTCATTTTCGTGCTCTTCGTTCTATCTCTCTCTTCGAAGCAAATGATGCATGACATTTATCTTCCCATATGATTACATTACACTAATAACAAAGCATGTAACTCACTATCAACACATGCGGATTATTTATCGATAGAACACAACTGTTTCAACGTCGAATCTTAACGTGATTATTATTGTGTATAACGTCATTATTATTGTGTATAACGTCATTATTATTGTGTATTTTAATCGATTCACACGTGGAAACAAATCGATATCATTTCGAATTATTTTCGTCGTCTCATACACATACTATCATGTAAGTTATCAAAGATACTCTCAATTCAATATTACTGTTAGCAAATATATTTGTTTAGGTCGAGTCGGGCGATTGAAATCTATACTAAGTAAGAAATATTCCATATTATTTGATTACAATTGATCTGTTCCGTAGGATCCGTATGCATCGAGCTGGTATTAAGAAACACTTTTTACCAATGGATGATGACATGAATGCAAAGCTTTGTTATTGCGAAAAAGGCGTCCAAGTAGTAGGACAACCAAGTTTAGTATTCATACATGGATTCGGATCTAGTAAATCAACATGGTTACCTGTGATCAAAGTTTGTCAATAATTCATCATTTGATATAGATAAAAATCTTCGTTTATACTCAGCATATTCCAGATAGATATCATTGTATTGCCGTTGATTTGCCCGGTCATGGCGAAACTGTCGGTTTTAATGAAGAATATTATATCGCTATGAATATTGTAGATCTACTTAAACAGGTATTGAATGATTTTTATCGAGTCTATTTGTTATTCTACATCATATGTGTGTGTTTTTACTTTGGAATTCATTAGTTTGTTGACAGACTAAATTTCATCGAACCGATATGTCTTATTGGTGGATCGATGGGTGGTGCAATTGTTGCGATGTTTGCCATGAAATATCCATCCGATGTAGGCATGATTTCTGTACTTGCTCCTCCTCGTAAGTTTGAATAATTTCATTATCAAAGTATATTGTTTCTCGATCTATGATAGCCGGGGAAGAATACGAAACTGATATGGTCCAACAATTGCGTTTGGGGAAGTATCATGTAATTTTACCTGAAACATTTGAACAATATTATGCTCTCATAAAATTAATGTCAAAGAAAGAGATTCCTTTCGTTCGATCATTGGCTAAAACACAATTTAAAATACATTTACGCACGCTAAATCACTATAAAAAAAGTAAATAAATC